CAAATGATGTTTGAAATTCTAGGGTTGGGCGAACATGATTCGAATTCATTCCTGATCATTCCCGTATATACTGGTCCAACCCAGCCAAGCCTCTTGCCAGGTCTCTGCTGCTGAGATGCCTGCCGTCGCCCCAGACTCTTTCAAGAACATCGATGCCCATGTTGAGCGTTCAAAGGAAGGACAAGACGCTGCACCGGAACAGCAGGCATCTTCTGAAATGGAGGCGACCATGTTATCAGCATCCTTCGGCTTATTTTCTTCATTCCGAAATGCTAATCATAGATTTAGCGACAAATTTGTTTTCTATGTCATTGTCAAACCCTGTGCAGCACAAAGCCGTTGTCAAGCGCTACATGGACAGCTTGTTGGCAAAGATCAACAAACTACGGGCCCTCATAAAGGATCTCAAGAAGAACTACTCAGCGGACTCTGCAGGGAAGCTTTGATTTATATACATGTGGTTTATATATGCAATCAAAAGAATAGGTCAAGTGGTTGCGCCTTGCAGCTCCATATTGGCATGATCTTGAAGTCAATGCAGTGCATCCCAAGGCCAGTCAAGACCTTGGAGGACAACATCACCAAAATCGATGAGAAGTACGAGGCTTTGAATGAGCACATGGCCACTGGTGAAACCGATGGCTATGGTGGGGAGTTCTGTTCTCAGGAAATCTGTCACAGTAACACATCTCAAGATTGCTCATCCTGACATCTTCGTATCTGTCGCGCCCAGGTGGTGGAGCGCTGCCGAGAAGAAAATGAAGGAAGCTACCATGGTGTTCGGCTCTCAAATTTCCCAAATAATTTATGTTCCACTTCTGTTTGTATCCTCGTCCTGTTTTGTGATATGTTTAAAATGTTGTTTGATGATATCTCGCCCCAAAAAAACCATCATGTTGATGAGGTCGTCGCGAGCCACTGCTGCGGAGCTGAAGGTCAAGTCTTGGCCTTAGACGTGCTGCATTTTCAGGTGCAACAAAATATAACATGCAATCAAAACATATGAAAATTACTGTATTCGAAATTGACGAAATGATTTCAAGATTCAAGACCTTTTGCTATCTGCTGTCTTTAGTGGAGCCACCGAAGGAGCGCAAAGAAGTTCTATGAGAAATCGACTTCTGAACGGAGCCCGGGAGGAGCTGACAAAGCTCCTGGTGCTAAATCGGCACCGAAGCCCAGGGCCAAGGTTGTGACTAAGAAGAAGCGTCGCCAGCAGTGATTGAGTGTCACTGTACTGCTGCGACAGCAACGTTTTGTCTCAGAGCTACAGCCTACAAAGGCCCAATTCCAAGTGCGACTTGCTTTAGGTTTTGCTTTCAGTGGCAGTCCGCTTTGGAACCCGAGACGTGATCAAGTCTGCTACAACCCATAGCTGTTGAAAAAATAGGGGCTGATCTTCAAAAATTTTCATGGCAGCTTCAAAACTTATCAATCTAGATTTTGGGACCCTGGTAAACATGCGACCTCCCTGTTTGCCAGGTGCCGGGCCGTGTTTGCGGCAATGGATGCGTGATGTCAGTGATGGCGTTTGGGCCTCAAGCCAACATGCTTGAGTAAGGGCAGTCCAAACCTTTTGACTGCAAATGCAAACAAAAGTGACATGACACCTACATTGATATAATTTGATATATCCGCTCCATTGGGCTCAAATCCACATGCTTTATTTCAAAAAGTTTCTCATGGCATCTCCCTATAGCAATGGAAAACCCAGAGGATGAGTTACTGGACTTGCTCACATGCCATCGCTCTGCACCTTATCGGAATTCATTTTCTCTGGTGCATGTGGTTTTTCATGAAATTTATATGTCGAGCTATCATAGTGGACATTGTGATTTTCACTAAGTGCTTGGCCGAGGCTGATGATGGTCCATTTCCGTGGGATGTGACAAAGCAAGCAAAACCAAAATTTGATACACCCACTGAGAAGTCTTGTAGCCCAGCCCCAGTCCAAAAAATGCGTCCAGTTTCATGGCAAAGCCATGTCCGTGGGACTATGAATGATCCTCGCATTACATCAATGATGGATGAAATTGAAGAGCATGAAAGCATTTCGCTTTGGCTGGCGACTAGGGCAACCTCTGCTGGTCTTGTTTTACAACACTGTCTCCAGGTGATCGATGCCATCCATGAAAGTCATGCTCCAATGACTTATAAAGTTGGATTCAGTCACAATGTCATTCACCGGTGGTCAAATCACCGGTATGGCTACATGTGGGAGAAAGACAAGTGGCAAAAAATGGTTGTCCTTTTCATCTCGAAAGAGCCATGGAGCATTGCTATGCTCGAAGCTGCCCTCATAGATCGTTATTTGGGTGCCCTTGCAGCATTGGGGTGCTATCAACTTTGGCTTCAACATGTACAAACCGGTGTGATCTTGTGTATTAATATAGTATCTTCCCATCTCCAACCGCCCCCGTCAAGGCCAGCCTGGATGCAAAAATGTCCGTCGAGGTGGCGATAGCGTTTGCCATCATGAGGATGCCTCGGAAGCATACATGGTGTACATTGTGTACAGAAGCTTCAAGGTGAAACCACCATAGCTTTTGTTTGGCATCGGTGTTTTTGATCCAAAAACAATTATCTGACATACCCCGTTCTCAAGTCTTGAACGTGGAAGCTGTCTGGGTTGTGTAGTGGAAGCTACATCTTGGGGCATCAAAGCGAAAGACAAAAATTGTGCTTCTGCTGTCCAGCCGAGTGAAGCATATGCAACGTGGAAATGCGGCATCTTTTTCAATGACAAATTCCCTTGTTGAAATTAAGCATATTAACCCTTTGCCAAGTGTGTCTGCCCGACCAAGGCCCCTTGCAGATCAGCTATCAGGGGAGCTCGGGCAGTGGTTGAGGAATTCCCAAGTGCTTCTTCTACCACTGTGGGGGTACTAGCTCGGTGCAGCCTACAGAATTCTGAAAGAGATGTCCACATTGTTGGAAAACAGTACAAGCTGACACTGCCTATAGATTTGACACCAGTTCAAATTTCCAAGGATGTGCAGATTCCCGTGCTACTCCTGAGTTCCTGGTTTAAATTCATACTGAGTTTGAACTTGTGGCACAGACTTAGTGGTTTGGAAGAGCCTGATGACCGTCGGTGCAAAACTCAGTGGGCATCCTTCTGGTCCTGTTTCGAAAAAATTATGCCAAACCACCGTGTGTTTCGTTTGGCAAGAGATGGTGACCTAGTTTTAGAAAGAACCTGCGCAGTACTTCTACATGGAGATGAGGGCAGGACCAAAAAAAAGTCTGCAATCATGGTGCTCAATGCGAGTAGTGTGCTGGGTTTTGGAACGGATGTGAAAAACCGAAGGGCTTCCATACAAAGCGACTATGCCAAACAAGACATCAACTTCAAGGGCAACACATGGACAACACGGTTTTTGCTGGGGGTCATGCCTAGAGGCCTTTACGATCCAAAGAAAGGTGACGCTGAGGCATTCGACAGAATGACGCAGGCATTGACAGACGACATGAACGAAATAGTTTTAAACGGAGCTGTGTCACTCAAAGGTGAGCGGCACTGGATGATGCCAGTATATGTCACTGGGGATTGGCCATTTCACCAAAAGGCTTTCCACTTGTCAAGAACTTTCGGTTCGGTTGCAAAACAGCCTACCTCAAAGGCGCAATCCAAAGGAATATGTTTCAATTGTTTGGCGGATCAAGAGGGATACCCCTTTGAGGACTTCGAAAGTCCAAACCCACGCTGGAGGGCGACAATTGGACAAGTTTCCCCATTTCTTACTGATCCAGTTTTCTTACAGTTGCCTCATGACGAGACATTGCCAACTTCAATCATTGGGCTTGACCTATTTCATGGTTTTCACCTCGGTGCTGGCAAGGTGTTCGTTTCGTCCTGTTTGGTTTTGGTTTCAGAGATCCTAGAAGGTTCTTCAGTTCCAAAAAGATTTGACAGTTTGCACGACTGTTTTTTCGACTGGTGTCGTCGACGAAAGCAACGGCCCTACATCAGGAAACTTTCCCAGGAGACAATCAAGTGGCTGCAGACGACAGACTTTCCAAGTGGTGCTTGGTCCAAAGGAAGCACGACACTGTGTTTGCTTCGCTTCATCGTTGACTTTTGCACGAATAAGGAACAAGAAATTCGTGGAACGTTGCTTCACACTTGCTTTCTCGCTGCTGTTGAAATTGATAGCTTCTTTTCAAAAATTTACAAGGAAGGAGTTTGGATTCAGGGGCCGAAGGCCATTGAAATTGCTGGCCATGGATTTATGTTCTTGAAACTCAATGGCCGTGTTGCTTTTGAAGCTTTCGAATCAGGAAGGGCATTGTTTCCATTTATGCCGAATCTACATCGGCTACATGAAATTTTTTTCTTGATGACTGACCATGTTCAAAAGGCGGGATTTTGTTTGAGTCCGGTCGTTTGGTCAAACCAAATGGCTGAAGATTACATAGGGAAACCCTCAAGGGTTTCCCGCCGTGTTTCTTCTCGTCTAGCTGTGGAAAGGACCCTTCAACGATCGTTAGCCGCTACACATGCACATCTCAGGGAAGCTGGAATCATCAAATAGGTTCCCAATTTCAGGTCTCACTTGGCATCCGGGCGGAGTGGTGCCAAAAGAATAGGGTGTGGGCCAGGCTCAAACCACATGAGCCGCGCTGGGCGGCGGGGAATGGCAGTTCGCACCACTTCCGAATCACAAATCTGTATGACCAGTGGAATTTGAAATATCTGAAAACCCAATAACCTGGTTATCAGGCAAAAAACCTGGTTATTTTGCAAACACTGCTTTTTTCAAGGTTTCAGGTGCTGAAGGTATATATATATATATATTCAATGGATATATACAATTATATCATCCAGTTAATCATCAGCGTAATACCATGAAATATACAATGGATATACAATGGATATACAATGGATGCGTTTTGTAGGTGAAATTCATGTCGATTTTGCTGTATGAAGGTGTTACATTGGTTGCTGCAAAATCCTGTGCTTTTGTGCTTCAACATCTTCGAACATCTCCGAAGATCAGGTTGCAGAAGTCCAGAACCAAAACCCTGAGACTCATCGAGTGGTTCGAGGTGCAGCAACTCCCTGGTGATGCAGCAATTTGTGGACATTTCAGCATCTTTCAGCATCAAAAACAGGCTTGGCTTTGTCTGAACATTGGGGAAGACCGGGAAGACCGGGAAGACCGGGAAGACCCCTTCAGTTGCTTTGTGTTTTTAAAGGGCCGAGTGTTGCCCCGTTTTTAGCGCGCCTTGGCTGTTTTATAGGCCGCATCCTCGAAGATTCAGATGCAAAGTGAGGCCATCCAACCTCACATTCAGGCGGAAATCTATGGCTGGTGGCTGGTGGATGTTGCCATGTTTGAGTTCCAAGAAACATGCGGCTACCGGGTAGGAAAAAAACACACGAAATGTACGGTCAAGTACGAAAAGTGCCCAGTTTCAATGTGGTCCAAAATGGTCCTCCCAGTTTGACCCGTTTTCTCACAAGGGGATATGCCCGGCCATCCTTAGGTATCGAAAATATCACCTCCAATGGGATAGGGGGTCATGACCATGTGGATGATTGGTGAGAGCCACAGCAAACCACATGGGTGAGATTTAAGCGACCATCCGTCAACCAGACATGGCTCAGAAATCTCCGAACGAAATGAGCATTGATAGCAGGGAAAATCCTTTTGAACTAAAAGGGGGGGTTCCAGCGAGCCATGTTCAATGAATTTGGGGATGGGTTATAACGGAATCACCTTTAGAGATGAATGTGGATTAGAAGTGGGTCTCAAAATGGGGCACAATCCAGCACTTCATAGCATAGTCTCATGGAGGTTCGCTACGTATCTCGATCCACCCCTATCCCCGTTGATTCCGTTCAATCCCACAATTTCCACCATATTGTTGATCAGACTCTGAAAGTCCTCATTTCAAGTGAGTTTCCCAAACCAAGATGGAGGTTTCCTAAGTCATGGGGGTATCCCCACTCATCGAAATCTATTGAAAAAGTCTATTTCAACGAAAAAACATTTTTCCAGCCAAAATTTTGACCATCCATGGAACCCCAACAAAATCCCCAGAGCTTCCGAGCCACGCCGTGTCCATGGGATGTGCTGGGATGGGCTGCGTCAGGATGTGCTGCGTCAGATCAACCAACACATCATGGGCGCGGCTCAGGAGAATGTGGAGCTACAGGACAAGGCAGCGAATGGGAAAGTGCTGGCTCCACTTTTTGTAAAATAGCCCAGGTATCTATGATTATTCTATGGAAGATCCCCACATCATGGAACTTATGTGGATTATATTCATGGTTAAATAAAGTTATAATAAGTTATATATATATATCTGGATTATTTCAGCTAATGGGACATCCCAGTACTTTACCTTGACACATTTCGACTGGAGGATCCCACAGCGACTGGGCTTATCCAAGTAGGCTTGATCCTCTTAGACTCTGGCTCTGTGCCATTTGAAAACTCATGGAAACTCAGGAGAGATGCGATCTACCGATGGGCTTTCAAGATCTATGCCAAAACTTTACTGTGGAGTATATATATGGAATTATATATATATAATATGTAATGATATGTACTGAGTATATATATATATGAGTATGTGTATATATATATATCATTATATATCTATATCTATTCAGAGGGGGATCCAGAAAACTATCGTCAGCATGTTCACTCGTCATGTCATAAGTTGTACCCCAACTTGGGATTTTTCACAATTTGCTACTGAAATATGCTACCCCCCAATGATCACTAAGCAAGTGCCCGGTGGATTCATACTGGCAACTTTTAGGCTTTGAGTGCCACATTTGTCCCGGCCCGTTGCTGAAAAAGAGCCGGCGTGAACCATGGCCCGTCGAGTGCTTTCCATCGTGATGGTGGCGGCAGCCATTGCGGCGCTCCTGTCCCAGAGCATGTCCTTCTTGGCTGCTCCCAAGGAAGTGCCCCGAAGTGTGGTGGTGCCAGCAGCAGCAATTGCTCCTATGCTGTGAGAGTCTCAGTGCGCTGAGAAAGACACCCAAATGTTTCGCAATGAAGCTTCAGACCTGTGCAATCTATCCATGGGCCACGGGTGTGCCCCACGAACCATCATGAACTATCTTGAACCATCATGAACCATCATGAACCATCATGAAGCAACATGGCATCATGAAACATCATGGCATCATGAGGCATCATGAAAACATCATGAAAACATCATGAAACGTCATGGCATCATGAAGCATCATGACCCACATTGACGGCTAAGGATCTCCGGTGCTGCTAATGCGGAGGTTCCTTTCGACATTACCTACGAGGATCCCGCTTCTGGCACCTCTGCCGATCTTGGCTACCTGCTCTTCTTCTTCGCAGTCTCGGTGGTTGCCATTGCCAAGGACGTCTTCAGCAAGAGCGATTCCAAGAGCTTGAAGGACGCAACCTGGCTTGAAGGACATTGCCGAGGAGAGATGGTAAGATCTGAAGATATGTATATAATTTCACATACACATATACATATTATATAATGTTATATAATGTTATATATATACACATACATAGGGATATTAAGCTACAATTTACACTCACACCCATCAAGCAACTATACGGCCTTCGGTCTTGGCGAGTTCTGAAAGACCAGTTCTCAATCATAGGGTTCCCAGTCTTCCCGGTCGACTCTGTTCCAGATCTTTGATTCTGAACGTCATCCGTTTGGTTCATTTGTCCATTTCCAGAATCCGGACTTGCAACTGGTGGGTACATGAGCGTACAGTACCTTTTTTCTTTGCCCGTTAATCGGATCCCCTTTGTTCAATCCAGCATCGGAGTCCAGCTGCATACATTCCAAAGCCCGCTGTCGGTGAACATCCTGATTTGGACATCAAACATCCGCCAGTTTTGGCACTTTTTTTTTGAGCAATCCTTCGATTTTGGAGCTTATCACCACTTGTATCCTCGATTTGTTGGTGAATCCAACCTGGCAATAGAAACTCCATCAAAAGTTACTGTATGGCTGGTTTCAATCTTGAAAAAAATTGGGATTTCCCGAGATTTCAAACAGCACAGTGAGTCGCGGCTTTTTGTGCCCAGGTATGGTTGATTTTTCGTCATTTCTCGCGGTTCAATCCCCAAATTTCAGGAATTTTCTGGCCATCCAACTGACCCCAAACTCCAAACAACTCGCGCCCAGGCAGTCTTGGGAAAGGACTGAGCACTCTGGACCTTCCAGAGGCATGGGTTCACATTTCCTGCGGTGCAGTGTTTCAAATGTTTTGGTTTTTGAATTTCCAGGTCCCCTGGTCCTCTGGTCCCTTGATCCTCTGGTCCCTTGGTCCCCTGGTGCTCTGGTCCCTGCCATTCTTTGATGACTTTGGTGCCTTGAAACAATTTTAAAATAAATCGCAATGAACCTTAATATACCAATCGTTAGCCCTAAACAAACCCAAACCAACTCTAAATCCGCCCGCACCGAAGGTGCCGAGGCGTGGTAGTTTAGCAGTGGATGCAACGAATGGACTGATCTGTCAGTCTGGTACAGCTTCAGCGGGGGCATGTTCGCCCGGGCCAGGGTGCCAAAAGTCATTCCCCGCAGTGGTAATTTGCACATTTTGCATATCGGCGCAGCATCGTCCAAATTCGCCGCTTCGATTCGACATGGCCGCAACATCGGCTCCACTTGGGGTCAACTTGGCCGAGAAAGCTACAACTGGGGCCTGACTTGGACCCATTTGGCTCCAACTTCAGCCCAACTTGCCCATTTGGGAATCATTTCGGATCAAGTTGAGTGCAAAATGTGCAAAGCTGCCGCCAAACCGCTCCAAGTTGCGCCATGTTGGACTTGCACCTGCATGTGCATGGCACGGCTTCAACTTGGGGATCGTCTGGGTCGATGCGGCTTTATTGGGCCAAGTTGGGCTCAAGTTGGAGCCAGGTGGTCCAAGTTAGGCGCAGGTTAGGCCCAAGTTGGGTCCAAGTCGGCTGCTGCTCCGCTCAACTTCAGGCCAAGGACGGCCAAGCTTGACCCCATTCGACGTATATAGGTTGGGCCATTCGACGGAAAAAACATCAAACAACATAAAGCTTAAACAAACCCGAAACCAACCCAAATAAATTTTAAACCAACCCGGAAAAAACATCAAACAACATAAATAAACCTTGGACCAAACTAAAATGATCCCTAAACCAACACTAAAGAAACCCTAAACCTAAACCAACCCTGAAGAAACTTTAAACCAACCCTAAATAACACCTAAACAACCCACAGAGCGACCCTAAATAAATTCTAAAACTACCCTGAAATAAACTTTTAACAGCACCCGCATAAATCCCGAACCAACGCTAAACCTAACCCTAAAACCAGCCTGAAATAAATTCTAAGTAACTTTGAAACAAACCACACACCAACCTTAAGCAAACCGGAAACCAACCTTGAACCCAACCACCAAGACGTCTTAAACGAAACCTGAACCAATAAGTTTTAAACAAAACCTAAATAAACCTTAAACCAACCAGACATCAACCCTGAACCAAAAAACCCAAATAAATCCTTGACGAACCCTAAATAAACTTAAACTGTTTAAACCAATCCTAAATAGTCCCTAAATTGACCCAGAAATAGCCTTCAAACAATTTTCAAATAACCCATACACAAACCCTAAACCAAAACCAACCAAAAACCCAACCCTAAATAACCCTTCAACCAACCCTAAATCGTCAATAAACGCTGAACCATCAAAAATGAGAGGTTCGCACTCCAAAGTCTTGCAAATATTGTCGAAGTGGCAGTGCCGAGTTTCAAAATGTTCACAAAATGCCCACAAAGTGTTAACAGAGGTTCCATTTCCAAAATCGTGCAAATACCACAAACATATCCGGTTTCGTCTCCAACTTGCTGCAAGAGCCGTAGAAAAGGAGGGGTTCGAGGTTCCTTTAGTGATGCCATATATATATTTTTTTTTTTTCATTTTTTTGATCCCTCACCCTGGGAGGCGACCGTGGCAACTTTTGAAGGAGGGATTCCGATTCCGCTGATCCTTCCGGAAAAAAAACTGCGAGTCCTGGGGGTTCAACAGAAAGTGACACAAACGGCGGCAAACACACGTCGCAATGGAGGGCATCCTTTGGAATGGAACATCATCTACAAATGGTTGATCAAGTTGATTCCCTATGTTTGATTAAAGGGTGTATATATATATAGTTGTCTTCGTATTTACATATTTGTATTTGTATATATTATATATTGATATGTATATATATATAATGTATTTTTCTATATATTTTTATATTCAAATATTTATATATTTTGATGTTTATATATATATATATACACATTTAGACGCGTATAAATATATATATATATATAGATACTTTTATGTTGATATATTTATGTATATTTATATTCTATTTTTTTTATTTATTTTATTGTATACGTATATATTTATGTTTTTTTTTGAATTATATATATATTGTATTCAAATTATATATATAATTTAGCTATTAATGTATATAGAGTCTATATATTTTTATATTTTTTTTACAATAATTATAAATAAATAATTATATATATAAATATATATATATTTGTATTTAAATACATATATACATTTAAATGCATATATACATGTTTTGAAATGAACAATTATAAATATATGTAAATAATTTGAGATATATATATACATATTTAAATCACATTTTTTCACAATTTATATATTGAAAAAAAATATCTATATACATATATGGTTGTATGGTTGTGACTTGTCTGGCTCTCAGTGGGTGTCTGCCTAGACCTCCTTAGACTCGCAGTGGCCCCAGAGCGATCAGCGGTGTGAACCATGGCCCGTCGAGTGCTTTCCATCGTGATGGTGGCGGCAGCCATTGCGGCGCTCCTGTCCCAGAGCATGTCCTTCTTGGCTGCTCCCAAGGAAGTGCCCCGAAGTGTGGTGGTGCCAGCAGCAGCAATTGCTCCTATGCTGTGAGAGTCTCAGTGCGTTGAGAGAGGCACTCGAATGTTTAGCATTGAAACTTCAGACCTGTGCAATCTATCCATGGGCCATGGGTGTGCCCCACGAACCATCATGAACTATCTTGAACCATCATGAACCATCACGAACCATCATGGCATCATGAAGCAACATGGCATCATGAAACATCATGGCATCATGAAGCATCATGAAAACATCATGAAAACATCATGAAACATCATGGCATCATGAAGCATCATGACCCACATTGACGGCTAAGGATCTCCGGTGCTGCTAATGCGGAGGTTCCTTTCGACATTACCTACGAGGATCCCGCTTCTGGCACCTCTTCCGATCTTGGCTACCTGCTCTTCTTCTTCGCAGTCTCGGTGGTTGCCATTGGCAGGGACGTCTTCAGCAAGAGCGATTCCAAGAGCTTGAAGGACGCAACCTGGCTCGCGAAATGTACCACAAAACCCAAAAATAGGCAAGGGGGGGCTACGGCAGACATCAAGAATGGATTCAAGAATTAAAACCTTTAACCACCTACTGATATCTTTGCCATCTATGCATCCGCACTGCGGAGAGAGTTTGCAATTCCAACCAGAAACTTGGCATTGTCCGAAGATAGGCCCCAAAATCATCCGTTTGGACGAAGAAACACTATATGGGGGTTCCTAAAATAGGGGATCCAAAATAGCTTGATGGTTTATAATGGAAAATCCGATCTAAAAATGGATGATTTAGGGGTACGACCATTTTTGGAAACCTCCATATGATGTTGTTCATTAATATTCTCTATGATCACCCCATGAACTGCTTGGTAAACCGTATATCTCCCGTGGCTCATGGAATCCCCACTTTCTTCACCTAAAAATAAACACCAAAGTTCTGCCACATTAGTTCCCTGCTAAGGCAGTTCTTGGCAAAGACTAAGAAGAGCTCTGGCGACGCCCTGGATTTTTGGTGTGGAAAGAAGGGACCTTGGGGATTGGCGGAGGAGAAGTCTGAAACTGGGGGTCACCGCAATTTACGGTCATTTGATAGGAACATGGCGTTTTCAAGCATGAATTTTGGGGTGTTCCCAAAACTTTTGCAGAAAGCCATCTGAATTTGAATGGTTCACCTAGAAAGATGACAGAATTTCACAGAGATTAGAGGCTCAATCCCAGGAAAAGACACAGCCCCAGTGACAATTTTCAGACTGGATTTGGAGGTGCCCCGTTGATAAGAACCGTTTCGACTTGGCTCTCAGTGGGTGTTTGCCTAGACCTCCTTAGACTCGCAGTGGCCCCAGAGCGATCAGCGGTGTGAACCATGGCCCGTCGAGTGCTTTCCATCGTGATGGTGGCGGCAGCCATTGCGGCGCTCCTGTCCCCGAGCATGTCCTTCTTGGCTGCTCCCAAGGAAGTGCCCCGAAGTGTGGTGGTGCCAGCAGCAGCAATTGCTCCTATGCTGTGAGAGTCTCAGTGGGTTGAGAGAGGCACCCAAATGTTTAGCATTGAAACTTCAGACCTGTGCAATCTATCCATGGGCCACGGGTGTGCCCCACGAACCATCATGAACTATCTTGAACCAGCATGAACCATCATGAACCATCATGGAGCAACATGGCATCATGAAACATCATGGCATCATGAGGCATCATGAAAACATCATGAAAACATCATGAAAACATCATGACACATCATGGCATCATGAAGCATCATGACCCACATTGACGGCTAAGGATCTCCGGTGCTGCTAATGCGGAGGTTCCTTTCGACATTACCTACGAGGATCCCGCTTCTGGCACCTCTGCCGATCTTGGCTACCTGCTCTTCTTCTTCGCAGTCTCGGTGGTTGCCATTGCCAAGGACGTCTTCAGCAAGAGCGATTCCAAGAGCTTGAAGGACGCAACCTGTCTTACAGGACAAACTGGCAGTTTGACTTGCATGTCTAGATCTGTAGAATTGTTAGATAATGTATGTACACAATCACATTGATACATACATTGATACATACATTGATACATACATTGATACATACATTGATACATACATAGATACATACATAGATACATACATAGATACATAGATACATAGATACATAGATACATAGATACATAGATACATAGATACATAGATACATAGATACATAGATACATAGATACATAGATACATAGATAGATAGATACATACATACATACATACATACATTGATAAATGCATACATTGATACATACATACATACATGCATACATACATACATACATACGTACATACATACGTACGTACGTACATACATACATACATACAGACATTCATACCTACATACGTACATACGTACATACGTACATACGTACATACGTACATATGTACATACGTACATACATACATACATACATACATTCATACCTACATGCGTACATACATACGTACATACGTACATACGTACGTACATACATGCATACATACATGCATGCATGCATACATGTATGCATGCATACATGCATACATGATTATATACATGATTACATGCATACATGCATACATGCATACACACACATACACACATGCATACACACACATACACATATACACACATACACACATTCACACATTCACACACACATACACACATACACACACATACACACATATCCACATATGCACATATACACACACACACATACACATGCACATACACATACACATACACACCGGCTTAAATATACACATACATATACATACACATACACATATACAACTATATATGCATATGCATATACATATACATGTACATATAAATCATTTCAATATGCATATACATATACTTACACCGTATACATTTACATTTATACACACAATATACATATACATACACATACACATATACATATACAGATACATATGCATCATACATTTACACATACATACACATTATACATATACATACGCATACAAATATACATACACATACACCTTATACATCTGCATCTACATATACATATATAGGCACATTATACCTATTCATGCACATTGTACTTGTACATATAAATACACATTGTTCTTGTACATATACATATTCATATCCATATACATATACATACACATACACTCACATACATACACATTATGCATTATGGATTTTGCATTATACATTATACATTGTACATATACATATACATCATACTGCATAATAATGCATAACACATAACACAAAATACATAGTACATAATCATATACATATACGTATACATATGGATATACATACCCACATACATACGATCAGAACATGCTGATTCACTACTTGACTTCCCGTTTGTTTCATGCAACTTATGGGTTTGGAGTGGTTGCATGGACATCATTGGTTTCTTGCTGGATTCGAATCAATGCTGGTGTCGTGGAGAAAGGTGATTTTTTTTGGGTGATCTCCGGGCCGTTTTTGGTGCCCTAAGGCCGTGCTTGGCAAAGACTGAGAGGTTTGGAACCCACGGTTTTTTGGTCGGTGACATCAGCTGCAGCTGGTGACACCTGCGGCGTTTGACACGACTTCGTGTCGATGTGGCGTGGAAAAGTTGGAAAGGACAATAAATTTGTTTGGGATGTAGTTATTTTTTTTCGAGTGTCATAAATTATAATTATTGTTATGTTATTGTTATCACACATTCGATCCAGGAACTATCAACACTTATTATCATTTTCCAACCATAAATCATGCCCATAGTGCAAGAATGGTTATTGTTATTATCACATATATATATATCACATATAGCGTTCTTCTTCTCACCAGTTCATCACAAGAAAAATCCAGGAACTGCGCACCTTAGGGCCTGACACGGGCTGAAACTGGGGGTCTATGGTCGAGCCTAGGGGGATCTGCCGGATGTCTTTTGGTCTGTGAAAGCAGTATAAAATAATGGGTACATGCATCATAAGCATGATAAGCGCGTCATGTAGTTGTGACTTGTTCAGAAAGCCAACGACCATCAAACATTTGACAAAAAATAGACAACAGAGTGAAGTCAACGACTTAACGATTTGATTTCACTTCCAATCAGTGGCTGTCAAAAAATATGGCCCAACCATGGACACTTTCCCAATGACTGGAGGCCCTGGCAGACAAGCTCCATGCGGCCTTCACCGAGCTAAGGGTGCGAACGAATGGCTGGGGAGTCGTTGGTCCGTTTCTTTGCTATTGTGTGGCAGAGAAAACCAATGAAAAGCCTAGGCTTGATGGGGTAAAACATTGAAACACAGTGAAAAACATCGAAAATCGCGAAAGAAAACTAGCTTTGATGGGGGTTTGACATGGTTTGACTTGAGGGTTCTCGATGGTTTTCGCCTCAAATTCAGGCGTCTTTGTGGACATTTTTCGACAGAAAGTTGTGAAACAAATCGACAGATCAATGCATCTCCTATATACACAATCTATCTGAATGCATATTTGAAAAAGTTCCAAAGTTCTTGGTAAAGGGACAAGCCAAATGCGAAATGGGGGACGCACCCAATACGAAATGTGTATGGATGAAAGGGGCAACAAGAGTGATGATAGTATTGCTAGTAATCAGAGACATTAAAATCATTAAAGGACATAGACTCTGGCAATCTAACACAACTATTGAACATCGCCATTGTTGAAGGTAATTTATGGAAATCAATGGGCCATCTATACCATGGCTATGTTTATTTCACCGGAGGTCTTCCCAGCATCCCCATCTGCAGGAGAAAGCAAACAGAGCAGCCAACGCAGCGATTGCGAACGCGCCAGCAGATGTAAGCAGAGGGCCATGAGCCGTCTGGGCCATGAGAAGTCTGGGATACCGGAAACCAATGGAAACCCATGGTATCTTAGCCTCGAAAAAGCCCTGGTAAATCATCGAACTTTCTATAGGGCATCTGTTTTTCATAGCACACGGTATATCACGGTATAAGAATTAAAATGACCTAATTTTTAGGGTTTGTGATGTTTCGCTTCAGCCCCAAGATCCATGATATACGATGGTCTGTTTTTTTGGGAGGGTGATGTTTCTCTCCTGTTCTTTCCAGTCCATTTTGCCTTGATTCTCCGTAGCCATGCCATTTAGAGTAGTATGGCTAGGGATAAACATACACTATAGCAAATACTTTTTCTGGATGAACGCCCATAAGTATACAGCTATATACTACTATAACACTATATACTAGACATGGCCACTATTAATATATCGAAATATCATGGCAATACCAGTTCCGCAAATCCCAACTCTTCGGGCTTCACCAAGTGGTTCACATTTCCCCAGTGCTTTCACCAGCATGACCCAGCTAGCCACACTCGGGCAACGCACAGGGCCCGGCAAGGGGTCCCCAGCCTAATCATTCAGCTCTGATGTTGTTTTAGTTTTAGACATACATACGGGTGTGTCTGAAAATGTCGTGTACCCCTTTTTACCCAATGGTTAGTGATCATGAAATCCCTATTAAATGGCTATTTCATTGGGAATATAGCCTATTTTCAGACAAACCCATCCATACATCCATAAATCCATGCATCCATCCACCCACCGATCCATCGATCCTTCCGTCCATCCACCCATCCATTCATACAGGCAGACACACATACATACATACGTACATACATGCAATCATGATAAATAAATAAACACATATATATATATTTGTATGTATATACAGATGCATATATGTATATAGGTATATTTATATAGGTATATATATATATGTATGTTCATATATATGTAAATATATCCATATATATATATGTAAATATATGCATATATATATATATATGTATGTGTATATATATATGTCAATATATCAATAATAGATAAATATAGACAAATAAATAAATAATTACATGAATAAATAAATAAATACAAAAGTATCAAATGAATAATAAATAAGTAAAAATAAATGAATAGATAAATATATATATATAAATAAATGAATAAATAAATA